CCCCCCTCTAGTTTTTGCACAATGACTTATAATATATCAATTTTCAATATTTTTGTAAACACCTGTTAACTGTATTATAGAAAATTCTTTAATAAATAGGCCTACTTATTTACAATCCCAGTAGGTGGTTCCTACAGATTTTAAAAGGTTTACAGAATGGACACAATCAGCAGCTTTTAAAAGCAAGTCCATCATTGTTGTTCCTTATCGCGACATTATGATAATTGAATGCATGTTTTGAGAATCTGTAGCGCAAAAAAGTGTTCAATATAAAATCCAATTTCTTATAACAAGTTTTGCCAACAAAAAGCACCATTGGTGAGCAGTAACCGGGCCATAATATGCAAAAGGTGTGTGAGAAGCGGGATGTGCTGTGTACAATCCCATTTTTTTCCCTCGTGACAGAGATTTACAGTTTTTAATCTAAGCTCAATTGTTGTTGCAAAATATTATGGTGTAGTTAAAATGCACTATTCTGGGCAAAACGTGGGTGACATTGATTCACCTGTTAAAGAGATATTAGAGGATAAGTTGCGCCACGGATTTTTGATCGCACTAAAGTCTTGTATGAGATCGTGCACTCAGGTAAAATTCCGGTTCGTCATGGGGGGCTTCTCGCACAATGGACAACTCAACAATAGCAAGGGTGGTAGTAATAATATGTGTCCTTCGTTTTGACGCCCATGGTTTGCATGCTTCTCACTGATTCTCAGTGAAGTTTTTATGAAAAGCTAAAAGCGGCGATCACGGCATGAGGGCAATCTCTTGGTAGGCCGAAGTGTGACGTTATAATTCTAGTCTACGTCACCATCAGACGTAGACAGACCGACAGACAGACATTTTTTTATCTCTACTACTAGCTAAAACCACCATAGGTAGAAGCAGTAAAGCTTTTGAGTGCTCAGAATGTGACAAACTTTTCTCTGCCAGAAGTTGTCTCGATGGCTATACCAGGACCAGAACCCACAAGTCATCCTAACCTTTGATTCTACTCAATCTTTCATTTCACTTGAGAAATATTCCCTTCCGCGGATGCATTGGTCATCGTCAGACATTGACAGATGAACATTTATTATTAGCTAGACCTAGCAATACAGCCAAACGCTGCTAATCTTAAGGAATTAACCCTTGCGACACAATTATGGACACCTTACATCTTATTGACATTGTCCTATTGTCCACAGAGAAGATAATGTACCACAACTAGAAGACATCTCCAGGTTTTTGAAAGGTTAGTGACTGCTCACCTTTTTTTTCGTTTATTCTTTCTTTTCGCTCCACTTTGAGCAACTGTTTTGTAATCGGTTATCTGTATTTTTTTTAATATGGAATTGGGTTGACACTTTTCATGTTTAATCTGTCTGGATTCTTGACATGGTAGAATTGTGCATATGTGTGTGTGCGCGTGTGTGTGTATGTGTGTGTGTGTGCGTGTGTGTGCGCGCGCGTGTATGTATATGTATGGGTGTCGTGCATGTGTGTGAGTGTGCATGTATGAGTGTGTGTGAGTGTGAATTAATAAATGTTTTTGAGTGTGTGTGCGTGCGTGTGTGTGTGTATGTGTGTGTGTGCGTGTGTGTGTGTGTGTGTGTGTGTGTGTGTGTGTGTGTGTGTGTGTGTGTGCGTTTGTGCGCGTGTGTGTGTGTGTGCTTTCTTCTGTGTGTGAGCATATTAGGACCAAAGATTCATTTGTCATAGTATATACTGCATTGCTCATTTAAGATTCCGTACATTTCTGAATTCATACATTTCGGAATTCATAAACAATGTAATGTATTTTTAACCTAACGACAGCTCGCACTGGCTTCACTCTGAGACCTGTCGCTGGCTACCTGTCATCACGTGACTTTCTGGCCGGCCTGGCCTTCCGGGTGTTCCACTGTACCCAGTATATACGTCACGACACAGACCCCTTCTACACACCGGAGCCGTAAGTGACGTCATAAAATGACCTTTTAATATGAAATTTAATTCAGCGTTTTAATGGCATGCTTATGTAAACTTATACATGCTTACGAACAGACTGACAGATACACAAACGGATAGATAGATAGATAGATAGATAGATAGATAGATAGATAGATAGATAGATAGATAGATAGATAGATAGATAGATAGATAGATAGATA